AAGTTGTTGGGCCTCCAAGTGCAGAGGTTTGTAGGATAGTAGCAAATTTCCCTCAAGTGGATGACCTAAGGTTTATCAATCCGTGGGAGGCGTAGGATGAAGATGGTCTCTCTCAAGCAACCGTGCAACCAAATAACAAAGAGTCTCTTGTGTCCCCAACACACCCAATACAATGGTAAATTGTATAGGTGCACTAGTTCGGCGAAGAGATGGTGATACAAGTGCAATATGGATGGTAGTTATAGGTTTTTGTAATCTGAAAATATAAAAACAGCAAGGTAACAAGTGGCAAAAGTGAGCGTAAATGGTATTGCAATGCTAGGAAACAAGGCCTAGGGTTCATACTTTCACTAGTGCAAGTTCTCTCAACAATAATAACATAATTGGATCATATAACTATCCTTAACATGCAACAAAGAGTCACTCCAAAGCCACTAATAGCGGAGAACAAACGGAGAGATTATGGTAGGGTACGAAACCACCTCAAAGTTATTCTTTCCAATCAATCCGTTGGGCTATTTCTATAAGTGTCACAAACAGCCCTAGAGTTCGTACTAGAATAACACCTTATGACACAAATCAACCAAAACACTAATGTCACCTAGATACTCCAATGTCACCTCAAGTATCCGTGGGTATGATTATACGATATGCATAGGTTCATGGGCGGAACCCGCAAGTTGATCACCAAAACATACATCAAGTGAATCACGTGATATCCCATTGTCACCACAGATATGCACGTCAAGACATACATCAAGTGTTCTCAAATCTTTAAAGACAATCCGATAAGATTACTTCAAGGGGAAAACTCAATTCATTACAAGAGAGTAGAGGGGGAGAAGAAACATAAGATCCAACTATAATAGCAAAGCTCGCGATACATCAAGATCGTGCCAAATCAAGAACACGAGAGAGAGAGAGAGAGAGATCAAACACATACCTACTGGTACATACCCTCAGCCCCGAGGGTGAACTACTCCCTCCTCGTCATGGAGAGCGCCGGGATGATGAAGATGGCCGCAGGTGAGGGCTCCCCCCTTCGGCAAGATGCCGGAACAGGGTCCCGATTGGTTTTTCGTGGCTCTGGAGGTTTTGCGGCGGCGGAACTCCCGATCTATTCTCCGTTCCGGAAGTTTTAGGGTACGTGGAGTTATATAGGCAGAAGAAGCACGTCAGGGGAGCCACGAGGGCCCCACAAGGCAGGGGGCGCACCCCCACCCTCGTGGCTTCCTCGTTCCTTCCTTGACGTGGGGCCCAAGTCCATCGGGTAGCTTTCGTTCCATAAATAACTTCTCTAGTTGATTTCGTTCCGTTTTGACTCCGTCTGATATTCCTTTTCTTCAAAACACTGAAATAGGCAAAAAACAACAAATCTGGGCTGGGCCTCCGGTTAACAGGTTAGTCCCAAAAGTAATATAAAAGTGGAAAATAAAGCCCAATATTGCCCAAAACAGTAGATAATATAGCATGGAGCAATCAAAAATTATAGATACGTTGAAGACGTATCAGGTGGCGGCGGCGGGTAGTACGGGGATGGTGTCGATGGCGCCGGCTGGTACATCTGGTAGGCGTGTGCATGCGCGCCGGGGCGAGGGCCAAGGACCCAACCAGAGTTGGGAGGCACCCAGCCAGTGCGCGGAGCCGGCAGCGCCATGCCGTAGGGCGCGAAGTACCCCGTGAATGGAGGAAGCGAAGCTTGGGACGAGCCGCCACGCCCGCCCGAGGTGGATCGCCCACGTCCACGGCCACGGCCGCGGTCACCACCGTCGCCGCCGCTGTCACCACGACCACGGTTGTGCTGCTGAGGATGGGGCGCGGAGGAGCGGCCTGCGCCACGGTCAGGGGCGCGGTCCCCGCGATCGCCAGGAAACCGCCCAGCAGATCCAGAGGCGCCATCGGAGGAGCCGCCGCCTGTAGATGAGCCGCTGCCAGGGAGAGCGAACGCCGAGGCGCTCTCCTCGGCAGCGTGCTGCGCCTGGGACTCTTCGGCGAGGACGACGCGGGAGAGGATATCATCGAAAGGCATGTCAGGCACCTTGTCGCCGAGAACAACACGGATGGTCTCAAGGCGTTTGTCGAGGTCGTGCAGAAACTGAGTAGAGAGATCAACCTCGGTGACGGCGTGTTCGATGTCGGCGAGGCCGTCGGTGAGGAGCTTCATGCGACGAGCATATTCGGTGCGGAGAGGTCACCTTGTTTGAGGTTGCGGTACTGACTGTTTAGCATCATGAACCGTGCAGCCCGATTGGCAAGGAAGAAGGACTGGATCTTGGTCCAGAGGGCATATGTGGAGGTGGCGCCGACAACATGGTCGATGAGGGGATCCGCGAGGGTGGCGTAGATCCAGAGCGCGACGTGGGCATCCAGCTCAAGGTAGTGGGCGTCGGCTTTTGGAGGCGGCGTGTGCTCGATGAGAAAAGTCATGCCATAGCGAAGAAGCACCATGAAGAAGAACGATTTCCACTTGTGGTAGTTGTGCTCAGCAGGATTGAGGAGGAATTTGATGTGGTTGGTAATGTGGTCGTTGAAGATGGAGGTGCGTGGAGCGGGTGCCGGCGGCGCCGGGGTGGAGGAGGAAAACAGCGATGCGAACTGAGATCCAGAGGAGGCAGAAGTGCCATGTAGGGATGGGTTAGTGTCGGAGAGAGAGGGCGGAGCAATGGCCGGCGAGGAGGCCGCGGTGGTGTCCGCCGCGAGCGCCGTGGAGGAGAGCAGAGAGCTGGGCGAGGTGGCGGAGCTGGAGGCGCCAGAGGAGGGAGTGCCAAGGTTGACCATGGCGGAGAGGCCTGGTAACTGATACCAAGTTGGAAGAGATAATCTCAACTGATATTATGATTGACAGAGTACAAGCCTCATATACAGAGAGGGGAACCGATCGCCCTACAAGAGTGGTACGCAGGCCATGGGCGTCTTGATCCTAAATACAAGGAAAGTATACATGCACAAGTTACGTTACATACAATTCAACATTGGACGCCAGGGTGGCGGCCCTGGTGGTGGTAGCGCGGTGCTCATGGGCAGAGCCCGTTGCTCCGTGCTGCCATGGTCGTGCCGGCGGCGTGGTTGCCGGGGTGTGGCGTTTGGTGCCTATGAGTATTGGCCGGGGTGAAAACCTGTTCTATCTTCGGACGGACTGGCGGCGGCGAAACTTATTCCCTTCTTGAAGGTGTCGTTGCTGCTCTCATTGTCCATCGTATTGCTCCAGGGGAAACTCTGATCCTCGGATTGGGCGTTGGCGGTGCTCCGGTGTCGTAACCTCCGTAAGGCGTCGCCTTGGAGCCTACGGTTCATCGTATGTGGCTTCATCTTCTCGAGGTGACGTTAGTGCTAGGGGTGGTGTTGCTGCGCTCAGCGCCTATGTATCCTGCCTTGGGTGCGTGCGTGTGGTGTGGTGGCGTATATTTGTACCGGGTTGTTGATGATCGTTGCTTTATATTTAAAGCGGGGCGAAAGCCTTTTTGGGTAAATCATGAGTGAGCATGTATGTATCTGCTTGAAGAACATAGGACTCTGCCCGCCATCGCCATCGTTGCTGAGATAAAAAGCTTGATGTGGCCTAGAAACGCATTGTTGTAGGGTATGATACTCACTGATCCTCTTTACTTTTGATGTGGCCTAGACGCTTAATTATTTATAATCATCAACTGGTCAGTTGTGCTACGAAACAACTCAGCTGCAAATCATGTTGGTTTCAGCTAACGATTACAGACTCAGAAGAAAATAACATGTTCCCGGAACTGCTAGTGACCTTTTGCATCAATTTATTTATTCTTGAGCAAGTTCTAGGTTTCCTTTGAGGTTGGTAGTGTCATGTGCGCTGCCGCAAGCTCGCTTTGATGAGGACAAGGACAAGATCCGACAGGATTGACTGAAAAATATATATGAGACAGCTGGGGAGGGACGTGTGTGGCAAGATTTGTTCAGAGGTGTATCATGTGTGCCAAGATTTGTTCGAACGTTGGAGGTGGAGGGTTATATATGCAGATTTCAAATCTTCCTGTTGTGGCTTTCAGATTTGGTTACCCGGCCAAAATGCCTACATACATCAGCCAAAAATGCACAAATTAAGGATGAATAACCAAACCAAATACAAACCTCAGTTTTTTTTAACCTCATTTTGTAATACATTATACATGTAAGAAGACCACACCGATATATTTCCAGGCAAAAGCATATACTTTCTAGTTGTTGAAACAATCACATACAAATTATAATCGTTTCATATGTAGTCTTTGGCAAACATCACTCTCGTCAAATCAAACAAAACGTACGTGGTAGACACACTACAAGCCAAAAAAGAAGAAAAAACATGACCACAAACCAAACCAAACCAAACCGCACACTAGCAAACAAACGTTACGCGTTGGTCTCCATCTCATTGGAAACAATCAAGCAGATGTACTGTTTACAAAGTACAAACACAACATCATAATCAAGCACCGATTTATTCTTCAGAAAAACACACCATCATAATCTCGGGAAATCAACACCTGAACTGCACGTGCGTTGTGGTAGCGCAGCAGTCGGGAGCAGGAAGACGACACCGTCATCTTGTACCACCAAACCTGCACAACATAGACAGGGCATGATGCAAGCATGCAACTGATATACTCCCTCCGTTCCTAAATATTTGTCTTTTTTGAGATTTCAAATGGAGCAGCACATACGGATGTATATAGACATATTTGAGTGTAGATTCACTCATTTTACTTCGTATGTAGTCACTTGTTGAAATCTCTAGAAAGACAGATATTTAGGAACGGAGGGAATAGTTGAGTGCAGAATGCATAGCCGAGAGGATGATTGGAATTGCAACACGAGACAGGGCATGATTAATTAACTTGTTACTGTAAATCTACAGTCTACATATATCATATAGTATATGCTTTGAAGTGCAGATTATCATATAGTAGTAAATGCAAACAAACTTTATACGGCACATGCATTAAACAAAAGGACAAAGTGTTGTGCACGTGTACCTGAACGGTTGCATAAATTCACCGGAGAACCGAGAATCTCTCCATGGGCATCTTGTAATAAGACGAGTGGCACGGCTTGAAGAGGGAAGGGTCATGGCCGGCCTCCAGCCCATCCCACTCAAGCTTCTCCCACCAATCTTTCTCGCAGTCAACCACGGGGCGGTTATCTCGGCCGACGGCTGGGAGGCGCCTGAGACCCCAGCATCCCCTAAGCCATACCCTCTCAAGCTTGGGAGCAAGCATCTTGAACTCACATATACGTTGCAACTTATGGAGCTCATACAGATGGATGTGCTTCAGGCTTGGGAACTCAAGTACACGTTCCAGGCGGCCAGAATGGACAGGGAATACCATCTTTAGGTCACCACAGTTGACAATGTGGAAACTCTCTAAGTTGCGCAAATATGATGCCTGAATAGCCCACAATAATGGAAGCACAAATGAGAGCCTTGGGCAAGAGTAGAGATGTATGCTCCGTAGTTTTGCAAATGAGTATATATCCATGCCATTGAAGGTCCTTCCTTTGCTCCAAATGCAATGGGCCATCAGTAAGTCAGCCGCCCAAAAGGTCTCTATTTCTTCAAAGGGGTAGATGGTATCGTAGTTAGTGGTGAAGACTGTGTGCATCTTGGGGCATCTCACCACATGGCACTGTTTTAGATGTTGCCAACCAAGTTTCCTGTCATCTATGGACATCATGTGTTCAGGGATGACCGTGGTGATGCAAGAATTATCATGCACATGCAATGACTTGGCTTCGTCCATTGCAAAGATGATAGCCTCGATTGCTTGTATACTCTCCACGCTAAGGTTGCTAATTCCCTTACCAATCTCAACGTGGCAGCCTGTTGGCTGAAACTGCATTCCATTGTTGTAGTCGTGATCAATAATTATGTTGCTAACAGAGACATCAATGTAGGTGTTGTAAGTATCGGGGGTTAATGAATACTGTTGAGGCAGATCCATTATGTGCCCACTAATACCGGGGCCCATTTTCTCCTTCCTATAGCTTTGTCCCTTAACATTAGTGGTACAAGGGACACAAACATTTATATGGAACCTACTGCTCTTCCAACAGAATTGAAGATTGTTTTGTAATACCAAGGACTGAAAAAACCTTAGATCCATTATAGTAACATACACTTCATGTAGTTTTGTTTGAACAGGACACACAGATGAATCTATGTGAAGCACTTTTAGTGTTGGTAGACCTCTTTCTGACCATAAAATGGCTTTGAGCTGCATACATCCCAATAGAATAATTTTTTGGAGACATGGAAGTTGCACCACCTGAGTTGTGAGGTCAAGTGTTTTGACTCTTGTGCCTGAGAGATCCAGCTCCTGAAGGTTTGGAAGTGATCCACGCAGTGTGAAGTCAGACAATCTTGCACAACCAGCAATTGAGATGCGGCTTATTTTGGCTGCCTTGTAATCATCATTTCTTGGTCCTGCATCTAAGCTGAATGATTCAAGTGATGGAGGGAGACTTTCAACCTGCTCCAAACCAATGCAACCATCTAGTACCAGAGTCTTAAGGCTAGCTGCTTTTGAGAGACTTGGCAAACCTTGTATTGTGCTATTGCTTGATAGGTCAAGGAATTCCATGTTCACCATACCTGTAAATTCATCCATTTCACCTGTATGCCAAGGTGATGTAGGCTCAATCAGTCGAAGCTTACGAAGGTTCTGCAATTTTCTCCATGGAAAACCGCGGGACCAAACCCTTCCTTTCTTTATATGCACCTCCCTAATGTTTACATGCATATGCTCTGTGATGTGTGCTGACAAATCCAACTCCCAATCAGTGTGACATATGCTTAGAACCCATAAGCTCTGAAAAAATTCCATTGGTGGTCTATCTTGCTTCCCTTCTACTAATACTTGTTGATTCTTGCAGCTATCTAATCCGAGGAACCTTAAGCTGCGGCAACCACCGAAAGGAGGTAAAGAAAAACTGAAGCTGCATCGGCATAACTTGAGAACACAAAGTTTGTCCGACAAATGAAACAAGCCATTAGGTAAGGGCCTTAATGGAGGATCGGAATCACTTGCAACAGCAGAAATAAAAAAAGAAGTTGAATTTTGATGCACAACAAAGTTGTCCTTGACCAATATCCGCGGTTTCCAAGGAGTCTTCAGTTTATGACCAAAAGAGGGAATTTCATTAGATGAATAATCCTCTATATGTATGTATTGATGCAGAGCAGCCGCAACCTCCCATGCTTCGTCCGACTGACCTCCCTTTATAATCCCATCACATACCCAATAGCTCGAAGCATGGGTGGCCCAGTCGTAGTCCATGACATTACCTCCTTGAGAATTTAATACCAGTAGATACAGGCAACACTCTTCAAGTACTTCAGGAAGCTTATTTATGTGCCTAGCAATTTCTCTAGCCTCATTTTGCAGCAAATAATTCCAACCGTGACCCATCGAGTGATCATAAAGAAAAAGATGTGAACTATCCACCTTCTCACTAATTCGTGGGTTGAGCCGAAGCCTTCCTCGAAATGTCCACAATACTTTGGTTTCAAAAAATTCTCCTTGAGGAATGCCAAAACCACTTAAATTAATCATATCATTGCTTCCATTATGAAAGACCACTAAACATCTATGGCCCATAAGGACTTGAAAGATCTCTCTCCCAACGAATCCTATTTCAGCTCTTGAGCCTTCATCTACTCCTCTGAAATCATCTTCCTCATCTTGCCTATCAAAAATATCCATTACCCAATGAGGAAGCTTCAGTTCTTGTGCGATTGTCTTCTGGAGTGCTCTTTGGCTTTTCCAACTGGAGCAATCAACGTGGATGATCTTGTCGAATTTCTTTAGCAAAGATGGCGGAGGGTCTTCAGCTATGGCTCTAAGCACCGCAGAAGCAGCAAGCCCATGCCATGCATCAAAATAGATGGCCTTGTGTGCAGTATTGCTCATATCCTCCAAAGAAGGGATTATCCTTCGCACCGCTTGTTCGATGTTGCCCGCATATATCTCCTGCATAATTAGTTGATGCTGATTAGTTGAGGTCCCTCAGTTTCGCGTTTTCTGTTTAGTAAATAGATGCAAAAGGTGCACCTGATTTTTTGTATTGCTAGTATTATGGTCAACACTAGTCAATTAAGTTGTGTGTGTCGGCACTCATATAGGCTCACAGTAAACCACAACCATAATTTGAGTGTTTGTGTGTTAATGGGACTGACAAGCAGTGGTATTGTTAGCCAGTGTGGGGAGACCCAATGTGTTATCAGCTGGGAGAGGAGGGAACACAAATGTTAAAAGGATTTTATGGTGAGAATCTAAAACTTAAATTTGTTGGAGCTAGGGAGTTTCCCATGTTCGGGCCATTCTTTCCGGCTTCCCCGACGAATCCCAGCCATCCCTTTTCTTGTGCACTCGCCCCCCGCCCTTCCGAGCCACCACCCCGTCCTCCTCTCATACCCTCCTTCCTCCTGCAGATTCCGTCCTCCCTATCCCCTGCTCATCTCAGTTGCACGTTGCGGCCGGACTGGCCCCACCTTCTCCACCCGAAGGAAGCATCATAAACAGGGCTGGCCGCGTAGGAGGAGTGGAGTTATCGCCATGAGCGCCGTCATCCTTTCTCCGCTGGTAGACCCACCCACCGCCTCCCTAGTTCCTCTCCTCGTCGATCTCGCATCACTTCTTCACTCCCTCTCCTCTGTGCTTCAGATCTCCCTGATGTTGATTATCCTTGCTTAGAATTCTTGGTTCATGGAACAAATTTGTAGTTGTATATCTATAGGTTCCTGGAACTGGAACAATTTTGTAGTTGTATCTCTATTGGTTCATGATCCATATATTGTCAACACTGATGAATGCCATAATTGATTTGTCAGGCTTTCATTCGTGATCCCAATTCCATCCAATCATCACAGTGTGCTGGGCTCTTGCGCTTTGACCTATTCCCGAGGAGAGCGGTTAGCAGCAGCACACACGACGTTGATGGTGGTGGAAGCAGCACTCAAGCATACGGTTATAGCAGCACTGCAGTACCAGTAGATTGGCACAAGGATGGTGCTTCTTCTTCCCCAGTTGAGAATTGTGAATTTTTTTGGCAATTCAGAACAATATTGGCAAAATTTCCCCTAAATATCGAGGCTTGCAGTCTTTGCCATGCTCGTTAAGTATATCGGCATTTTAGTCATTGGTATGGCATGAGCTAATGAATAACCATTTGTTGAAATATGATTTCATACTTGCACTATTTCATAAGTTAGGCAAAGCCTTTTCTATTACTACAGCTTGGTAATAACAGTATAATGTCCACCATAATACTATTTATTAAGTAACTAATTTTTGGAGCAGATGTTGTCAATAGAGTAAACGGAACTACTATGGTCAGCGTTCACTATAAGCTTTATGTTTTTCCCTTTGATGCAGCTCTATAGCTAATTTCTGTTGATGTGTTCTTATGTTCTCTGAATGAATATAAATGCTTCTCATGTGCATTCCACTAATTGTTGTTATGTGCACCTCAAAATGTAGAAGGTATGCATACGAAAGAATGACAAGTATAGTAACTAGCATAGAGTGTGGGCTTTATAGCGCTAGATCAACTCACCAAGGAGCAAGACACACATACGTGCAAAACTAGACCAGAAACAACCGTATGTGAAGCTGGCTTGACCTAGCGATAACTCGATTTACTTCGGTGACTTGGCGATCGATGGAAAAAACTCTTTTATGGCCAAATGCTCATATCGAGCCTTTCATATTTCTCTTCTCCTCTTTTCTGAACCCAAAACAACTAGGCTTACGTATCCCAAACCGACTATGGTCAGCGTTACAGGGGGTGTTCATGTATATATATTATTACCAGGCTAGACCTAAACCCAAACAGACTAGGCTTACATATCCTACATGCACACGCTTACATGCAAGACGGGCACGGGATTAACTCTATGAGGTACGAAAATCCTACACCTACAAAGGCTTACATATGTTACAAAACTTTCCAACTAAT